AAAGAAGACAAGCGCGGACATTGATAAAGTCGCCCTCCCAAATACCCGTCGGGAAATATGTGAATCATCCATATCTTCTTCTCCCAGCTATGGGTTAATTAGTAGGACTTGTAACAAGGAAATGAGTATACAAAGAAACCTAATGAAATGAGTATACAAGGAAAACCCAAGGAAATGAGTATACAAAGAAAACTTAAGGAAATGAGTATACAAGGAAAATTCAAGGAAATGAGTATAAAAAGAAATCCAAAGTAATGAGTATACAAGGAACCCATTGATTCCTATAAAGAAAGCGTGAACTTGAACAAAACAAGAAATGGTACAGGCAGAAGCCAGAGAAAACGACCTAGTCAAAATCTCATTTCAACATTCAATCAGAAAGCATCCTTAACGCCAAAAACCCAGACATCGCCGTCGTTATAAAAAAAATCAAGAAAATAATTCTTTATCGAAGTTGCAGTTTCTGGTAACCGTGATATGAAGATCAAAGTAATTGAACAACTTAAAGCATACACTGGACTGAGGAGGACACCTCGGGGTGGTGTAATTGTTAGCAAGCTTGTCCCGCTAGAACAATTACGACTGAGTAGTGAGTTCGATTCTCACTGGGTGCCCCCTAATTTCGGCCTTGTGCCACATCTAAGCTATGCTTGGAAAATCACTACACTGGACTGAGGATGTCAGAATGAAGGACGTTCAGGCCACATTTGTCCTAGTTATCACTGAAGCGTGGAGTCTATACTAGCAAACAAAAGAACCTACAATAATAAACTCGGAATAAAGCTTAGTATCCCATCGCCTCAGAAGTCTGCGTTGCTTACCTCAACAAATATTTTCCGAAAAGAGCTATCTCTTTGAGAACAACTATAATGAGAAAACTCCAGGTGAAAACGAAAAAAAAAACTGCTAGGAAATATATATATATATATATATATAACCTACCTACAAATATATATATATATATATATATATATATATATATATATATATATATATATATATATATATGTTGCAGGCCCGGTAGGGTGCAGTGCTGGTTTATTACAAAGTGGCCTTGTGCCAGACACCACACTAAACTACCGAGTCTACAAGCAAAGTAAAAAAAATAAAAATATGCGTGAATGAACAACGAAGAAATGTGGTTAATCCACACGTGCATATAATAAAATATATTAAGATAGCCGACACAGAATGACAGAACAAAGACTGGATTCCAACAAGAGTAATTTTTTATTAAATGCAGGAAAAACAAGTAAATCATCCCGTAGTCGGGATCAATGAAAAAGTTCCGCATAAAAATAGAAAACAAGATGGCTAAAGGCGGGAATGGTTCTTGAAGAAGAAAGGTTCAGTAAGTCAATGTACATGGTAATATTCATACAAGGAAAAATACTCACTGCGAGTTAGGTTTTAGGTAATGTGAGTGAATATTATGGTATATGCATATTTCTTTTTTCTTTTTTTTGTACTGGTTCATCTCGTAGAAGGACTTTGAATGACGAGGAATTAATTATCTGGTATTTGCATTGTAAGATATCCCTCGTCTGCCAACCTTGCATATTGCCATGGCTAAAAATGAGTCTGCTTAGGTCCGAGTCTGGATCACCTACTGAACTTTTCTGAAACAACAGTTTGTCGTTGACGTCACAAATTTTTCGCGGGAAGATTTCAAAAATCTAATTTGCATAACAGGTCGCTTGGTTGGTGACCAAAAACAGTTACTACTGTATTAGACCGAACGAGGGAGAAAGGGGTGTCAAACGCGCGCGCGCGCCCGCGAGTGTGAAAGAAAGGGAGGAAACTCGCGCGCGCGTAAAATGTCGTAGATGGAATAATACATTATTCCACACAGCCCTCTTCCTGGATCAAATGTCGCAGACATTTGACTAATAATAATAGAATGTTTCAAATTTCTTTGGAAAGGTGACTTTTCGACCGGAGCTGGTATACTTAGGCTTGTCGAGAGAAACAGGTGTCTTGAAATTCTCCTGAACTTGCGGAGTTGATTGGGAAGTAGTATGAGACGACGGTTTCTCTATAAAGGCAGGTTTCAACCGATCTATTGAAACGTTGTCGGTGTGAATACCTTTTTGTATTTGGAAATATTTGACCGCGCGTTTAAGAACGCGGTATGGGCCTGTGTAGGCCGGCGTAAGAGGCCGCTTAACAGAGTCGTTACGTACAAATACAAATTCGCAGTCCTTGAGCTGGTGCGGTAGATATATATCACTCGGGCAGTGCCGCGGTGGTGTATAGCATAAGTTTGCCATTTTAAGGCGTAAGTCCTGAATAAAGAGGAAGAAACTGGTGGTGTGGTCTGGCTGGCGAAAAATATTGGCCAGGTAAAGATAACGAAGTACCAAATACAAGCTCTGCAGGGGAGCATTTTAAGTCATCCTTAAGAATATTTCTTAACGATAGAAGGATGAGGGTAATTCATCGACCCAATTATTATTCTCATGCTTCGTTGATAGCGAAGCCTTAAAGGGTGCGATGGAATCGTTCCACCAGCCCATTAGCACAGGGGTGATACGCTGTAGTACGTATATGCTTTGCACCAAGGAGTTCAGTGAATTCCCTGAAAAGACACGACTGGAACTGTGCTCCTCTATCTGTAGTAACCACTTTAGGAGTCCCAAAAATCGAAATCCAGTCGCATAAAATAGCTTTGCGACAGTCACAGCAGTGGTATCTTTGACAGGGATGGCAGTAGGCCATCGGGAAAAACGATCCACTATAGTTAGAAGGTAGGAATAACCATGGCAGGTTGGTAGGGGCCCAACTAAGTCCAGGTGTATATTAGTAAAACGAGCATCAGGCTCGCTGAAAGTGCCCACAGGAGATTTTGTGTGTCTATGCACCTTACACTTCTGACATTGTAAACATGTATTGACCCATTCACGAATGTGAACGTTCATATTCGGCCAAACGAAACGGTCCGAAATTAACTTAACTGTGGCTCTTTTGCTAGGGTGTGAGAGTCCGTGTAGGTGGTCAAAAACCTGTCTACGAAGAGACGGAGGAACATAAGGTCTTGGGGATTTGGATTTAACATCACAGTATAGGACCTTGTTACTAAAAGGAGCTGGACATTTCTGAAGTTCCAAAGAAGTGTCGGATAACACCTGCTTCAGAGTTATGTCCGCTTTCTGTTCGTCGGCGATCAAGTCTTGACTGAGTGCATCAGTATGCACGCCGAACATCTCAGTACGAGATAGGTATCGGCAACAGTGTTATCCGAACCCTTAATGTACCTAATATCAGTAGTAAATTGAGATATATAGTCCAGGTATCTGATTTCCCTCGAAGTGTATTTGTCCGAATTGGTGGACATAATGGACGTTAAAGGTTTGTGGTCCGTAAAGATAACGAAGGACCTACCTTCGAGGAGGTGTCTGAAATGCTTAATAGCACGAAAAATAGCCAACAGTTCACGAGAAAAGGTACTGTAGCGTGACTGGGCAGGAGAAAGTTTAGCGGAAAAGAACGCTATAGGTTTACGTTGAGAAGGACTGACTTGTTCAATGACCGCGCCTATTGCTGTTTCGCTAGCGTCAGTGGTCAGGTAGATATCCGATTGAGGGTCGTCCTCTAAGAAACTGAGCTTAGAAAAATTGCCTAGAGCGGTTTTAGCTGCTCGAAAGGCGTCCAAGGCTTCATTCTCAAGTATAATAGTCTTATTCTTCTTCTGTAATAAGTTGGTAAGGGGAGTCAGAATGTTAGAACAGTTTGGAATAAACCTCCTGTAGAAGTTGATCATCCCTATAAAGCGTCTCAACTGTTTAATAGAAACAGGGACGGGAAACTCAGTGATAGCTTTAATCTTTTTCAGTTATAGGGGCAATTCCATTTGCATCGACATGATGTCCTAAAAATTCTATATGGTCTGATCCGAAGACACATTTGTCCAGGTTTAGACGAAATCCGTAATGGGACAAACGTTGAAGAACTTCGTGTAGGTGTTGCTTATGCGAGGCAGCGTCCTCGCTAGCTATCAGAATGTCGTCAATGTAATCGAAAACAAAAGGGAGTCCACGCAGAACCTCGTCCATAAGACGTTGGAATGTCTGTGCTGCGTTGCAAAGGCCGAAAGGCATTTTCAAAAATTCAAATAAACCGAAAGGTGTAGTAACAGCAGTTTTTGGGACATCAGCAGCAGCTACTGGCACCTGATAATATGCTTTAGCGAGATCTATTTTGGTAAAAATCTTTGCGCCTTTGTAAACCAGAAGTGAAATCGTGGAGGTGGGGGGATTGGATAACGATCCCGGACGGTGATGGAATTCAATCTTCTATAATCCACACAAATTCTATAGTCCTCCTTTCCTGTTTTAGGTACCAAATGAAGAGGGGACGCGTAGGGACTGTCGGACGGACGAATAAAACCCTCTCGTAGCATGTCGTCGAAAGCTTTCTTTGCGAATTTTAATTTGTTAGGTGCTAGACGACGAGGACGGGAAAAAACAGGTTGACCAGTGGTCTTAATAAAGTGCTGTGTTTGATGTTTAGTTGAATCAATAGATCCAGCAGGACGCAGGAGGTCCTGGTACTGATTCAATAAGTCTAAGTACTCTTTATTGTGGCACGTTGCCACGGTGATGCCAGTGGTGGTAAGTTTAGAATAAGTGCCAAGAACACACAGTCTTGTTAAGTTGTCAGTCAGGGAATGGTTGTTCATTCGCACGGCGAGATCATAGTGCGCCAGGAAATCTGCACCTAATATCGGCATCTGGACGTCAGCAACAGTAAAATTCAAGTAAAGTCTCGTCGCATCCCTATGTTTAGGGTAAGGGACTTCGTACCGTAAGTATTAATACTGGAACCATTTGCTGCTTGTAAGCGGAGCTGAAAAGGTTGTTGACGAGCTTTATCACGCACGGGTAAGACACTAATGGCAGCGCCGGTATCAACCAAAAAACGTAAATTATTACGTGTGTCCGTCACATAAAAAAGGCGACTAAGTTTTGGTGAAAATGCCTTGCCAGCGAGATTAGTCGCTTTCACTCGCTGGCGGTTTTGTTTTCCGCGACCGCAGTATAAGTACACGGCTTGACGCAGTAATGAGCTTTAGACCCATATCGTCGGTGGTAGTAACACATAGTAGGAGTGGCATCCTTGTTCCGACTTGACGAGCGAGGTCGACTTCTGAAGCGCCGGCGGGAAGGGAACCGGCTTCGACCCTGACTTTTTAGAGCTAATGTTAAATCTTTAACTTGGCGCTGCAAATCCTCGACTGTTTTTTCCAAGGAGCTGTGGTCCCTAGTCGCTTCAGCACTGTGTACTGGCATTGTCTGATTATCCAGTTGCGAGAAAATACGATCAGCGGCGTCCGCTAATTGATCGATCGAGGTGTTTTCGGACATTGGCGCCAAAATTTGGGTAATGGTGGTGGGGAGACGGTCCAGCCACAAGCTTTTTAATATAGAGTCAGCCATGGTATTTTTGCCGAGTCGGCTTTTCATATAACGAAGGAGTTGGGAGGGAGTCCTGCCATCGCAAGTTAGGTTGCTAAATAGTTCCCGGATTAATGATTCCTCCGTACGGCCCATTCTCCTTAAGATTGCTTCTTTTAACCGGGCGTAGGGTTCTACTTCAGGAACGGCTTTAGGAAGTCTGAGACCTCATCAACAATGGCGGGTGGCAAAACCGCCACCACGTGGCCAAACTTTGTCTTTTGGTCAGTAATCCTTCTGACTGTAAAGATAGCTTCCATTTGCAGGAACCAGTTCTTTATATTCCCTTCATGAAAAGGGGGAAAAGGAGTGACGGCGGCGGTCATGTTCGCCAACTCTTCAGAGTCATTAGACGTCATTCTGGCTATCGAATTTATGCACGTTTATATTTCAGCTTGCTCAGAATTATGTTGGCAAGGTTGCAAAATTATTGCGTGTTCAATTCACGTCTCGGGTCACCAAACTTGTTGCAGGCCCGGTAGGGTGCAGTGCTGGTTTATTACAAAGTGGCCTTGTGCCAGACACCACACTAAACTACCGAGTCTACAAGCAAAGTAAAAAAAATAAAAATATGCGTGAATGAACAACGAAGAAATGTGGTTAATCCACACGTGCATATAATAAAATATATTAAGATAGCCGACACAGAATGACAGAACAAAGACTGGATTCCAACAAGAGTAATTTTTATTAAATGCAGGAAAAACAAGTAAATCATCCCGTAGTCGGGATCAATGAAAAAGTTCCGCGCCAAAAATAGAAAATAAGATGGCTAAAGGCGGGAATGGTTCTTGAAGAAGAAAGGTTCCAGTAAGTCAATGTACATGGTAATATTCATACAAGGAAAAATACTCACTGCGAGTTTTTAGGTAATGTGAGTGAATGTTATGTACATATTTCTTTTCTCTTTTTTTTGTACTGGTTCATCTCGTAGAAGGACTTTGAATGACGAGGAATTAATTATCTGGTATTTGCATTGTAAGATATCCCTCGTCTGCCAACCTTGCATATTGCCATGGCTAAAAATGAGTCTGCTTAGGTCCGAGTCTGGATCACCTACTGAACTTTTCTGAAACAACAGTTTGTCGTTGACGTCACAAATTTTTTCGCGGGAAGATTTCAAAAATCTAATTTGCATAACAGGTCGCTTGGTTGGTGACCAAAAACAGTTACTACTGTATTAGACCGAACGAGGGGAGAAGGGGGGTGTCAAAAACGCGCGCGCGCGCCCGCGAGTGTGAAAGAAAGGGAGGAAACTCGCGCGCGCGTAAAATGTCGTAGATGGAATAATACATTATTCCCATATATATATATATATATATATAAATAAAAAGAAAGAACATTAGGATTTATAATCCGGTGTTCTTATAGATATTTTTATTTTTACAAAATAGTGCTCAATGTAAATTTACAGAGCATTAATATTATAAATTAATTGATTTAAAATATGTTTTTTTCCGCTACACAGTTCTAACCATGTTTCAAAAATGGAAGCTAAAAGCTTAGAATTTAATTTTGTAATTAAATTAAAGACATTAGTTCCATTTCATCCTCAAGCGAATTATGGAGTAGCTTTTAAAAAATTACTGGGTTTTAAAGATACAGCTAAAATTATAATTCATGTTTCCAAGGTTACATATAAAACCACTTTTACTAGACTAGGGGTGTCTGCTGCGTTCATTATGTCTATATTTAGACGTATCAGTTATTTGCTACGTTTAGGGAGTGGGGAGGGATGTATTTTTCAATGAAATCTAACATCCGTTAAATGCATGTCGTCTGGATTTTTTTTTAAATTTTTATTGTTAACGACAAAAATTCTTACGGCATTTTTTTTCCCTATTTTTATATTTAATTTTTTTTTTTGGTGGGTGTTTAGCTTAGAATACGTTTTTATTTAACTACGATTTGAAAATTTTTCACTTTTAATTTTTAATATACTATATTTGTTTTAAGAACAATTAAATATATTAGAATCCCTTACAGTATGTAGAATTATTTTCACATCAAGTATAAGTATGTATTATTAGGTTAAAAATTTTTTTTTTTTAAATATTTTTAAATAAAATTTATGACCATCACGGCAAAAATAGCTACTTACTTTCACTGATTTAGTAAACTTTTATTTTTATATTTTTATATAAACCTAGTGATATATTGTTTCTCATGTAAGTACAAAGGACATGGGTCATTCAAAAGCTTACATCTTCTAGCATTTCATATTAATTTCATTTTACTTTGGGTGTTTTATTGGATTCTTTTAAGTGAATTGTAGTACTTTAATAGGATGTCTTTTGGTTAAAGACGTTTTATTTAATTACATTTTAAAAGAAGTTTAGGTTAAATTCATTTTATTTAACTACAATTTTATTTACATCTTTAAAATATTTTCATTGTTAGTTTTAATAGACTATATTTCTTTTTTAATAGAAGTAAATGTATTAGAATTACTTACAGTAAGTAAAATTATTTTTCCATAATATCATAGTATATGTATATTACGATTTTAAAATTTTTTATATTTAAATATTATTTAAGTAAAATTTATGGCAATTACAAAAAAAATAGCTAATTCATTTCTCTGATTTAGTAAAATTTTTTTTTTTTTAATATATATATAAACTTATATATAGTTTTTCATATGTATGTACAAAGGACATGGGTCATTCAATGGCCTACATCTTCAAGCTTTCAAAAATCATAATTTCATTTTTTCAGTAGGTGTTTTATTGGATTCATTTAATGCCGATAGTACTTTTTGAGAGGTGTTTAGGTTAGAATACGTTTTATTTAACTACAATTTTAAAAGATGTTTATTTAGAATTCGTTTCTCTACAATGCGGCTATAGAACCCAGTCTTTTGGAATTTTTCACTGTTATTACAACACTTTATTTTGACCAGTAAGTAAAGTCTAATAGCTATTACATCCAGTATGTCCGGCTATAGAACCCAGGATGTCCGGAATTAGCTCCCAGTCAATCCGGCTATAGCACCTCGCCTGTCCAGTACAAAATGTACGTTTAGAAGATAGAGCGTGATGTAAGTGACTCAAATGGATGCTTGATTTTTTTTAGTTTAACTTTATTTTTTATTAAATTTAGATTTTAAATATTTCGATTCAATTTGTATTTATATTTTAATTAATTTGTTTCAATAATGTTTTAATTTCAGTTTAGGAAGAACAGGTTATAGTGTGAATTCTTTTCGGTTCCTATGTTAATCGTATGGGATTTAGAGATCATTGTACTTTCAATACATTTTCGTCTGAGTAAATTATAATTCTTTAGTAAAACGCCATTTTGCATTCGTTTGGATTCTCAATCAAATTTAAATCGTGTATATCATCTAAAATAATATGTATCATACTAATACATATATATTATATATATATATATATATATATATATATATATATATATATAATTAATTTAAAAAATGATTCCAAATTAAAAAACATAAGAGGTCTCATTTTTCAAAAATAAAGCCGAAAATTTCAATATAATTATTTGAATTAAATTGAATTAAATTAAAACAATTCCATCTTCAAGCGATTTTTTTTTTAAAAAATAATTTATTTAAAAATTTACGTGTTTTTAATATGAATATTCATTATTGAAATCAAAAAAAAAAAATGGTAATATATTTATTTCATACGATTGTTTAAATAGGAAATGGTGTTGGGTGTTAATAATTTGTATAGTATTTTTATTTTACATTCATAGATGTCAATCATATTTTAAGGTAGGGGTGTCTAAATTTTTTTTTATAAAATGTTTTTAAAACAATAGTTTGGTTTACGTGTCTATGGAAATTTATTTATTATTTTATTTTATTTCTTTCTGAAAAATTTATGCTATATTTATATCATTAAATATTTTTTAAAAATAATAACAAAAATACTAAAGAATTTTTGGATTATTTATATTTTAACGAGTTATATATATATTATATATATTTTTACACACACACACACACACATACACATATATATATATATATATATATATATATATATATATATAGAAGAGAGAAAGAATAATTCAGTTTAAAAAATCTAAGAAAATTATCCAATAAAAAATACTTGAATGAAAATATTTTAAACCAATATATATTTATATATATATATATATATATATATATATATATATATATATATATATAAATATATATGAATTTTATTCAGTAAAAAATGACTTAAAGTTTCATGTTTTTACAATCGTTATGCGATTTTAAATAAAGGTTGTTCAAAATTTCTGGGTCTCAATTTCTTCTTTTTTTTTCTTTTTCTTTTTCGTTTTTTTTTTTTTCTTTTCACTTTCAAAAATTTTGTTTTCTTTTTTTCCTTGTTTATTTTATGCGTAAAGTCAAAAATTTGGATACATTGATTATTTTGATTTTAACAGATTTTTTTACTTTTATTTTATTTTTTTTATTTGTATTATTTTCTTACCTACTCACTATTTTTGGCATTTATAACTCAATATTAAATTATAATTATAATAAGAAATAACAGTAAGATATATAATCTGATGTTCTTATTCATATTTTATATTTTTATTTTTACAAAACAGTGCTCAATGTAATTTTACAAGCATAAATATTATAAATTAACTGATTAAAATATGTTTTTCGTTACACAGTAATAACCATGTTTCAGAAATTGAAGCTAAAATTCATTTTAAATTTAATTATATAATTAAATTAATTGGAAATATTCGTTTGAAGATTGAATGGAATATTGAATAACTTATTTAAATAAGTTATTTCAATAAATTCAAAAAAAAATCAAAAAGAAAATGGTTATAAGAAAATTATATAATTAAATTTGTCTTTTTTTAGTTTTTCAATTTTATGAAAAATTATATATATATATATATATATATATATATATATATATATATATATATATATATGCAATCAATATGCTAACTTACACATATCATACTCAGAATTTATCCCTAAGAATTAAATAACACATACACACATTTTTATTAACAGAGACACATTTATTCTCCAGGAACCAATAAAACTGTCAAATTATAAAATTGAATTCAGAGCAGCATAGATCCATTAGCTTTATCTCAAATAACAACTT